TTTCAATACTTAACTGATTTTTGCTTTTTTTTTCCTAGCCAATGTGATCAGGTGAGCGATGTGGCCCATGGGCCTCTTGTTAAACGTTATTATAACGTTTTTCAAAAACATTGTACTTTTGTTTTGAAAACATTTTTATTTTTTTTTAAACGTTTTTGAAAACATTTCTAAAAACGTTTTTAAAACATTTAAAAAATCAATTTTACAACATAATAAACAAATATAATGATTGCATTTCTTACAATTTTAATACCGGGAAATTCAAACGCCAACACTATATACCAACCAACCAACCAACGTTGGCTCGATATAGTCTTGCTTTTTCAGAGATGAATTAACCAGTTAGTTTGTTATGTAAAGCATAAATTTAATTTTAATTAAGCCAGTCTGTAGTAAAACCATATTAGATTATTATGTAAAATATTGGCGTAGTCAACAAAGCTATACTGATGGAAAATTAAGCACACAATGACATATATCAGGGACCTATATACTTAGTATATAGGTCCCTGCATATATATAGGTGCAACTCGAACAAAAGTGGGGTTATGAGAATTATTTACGTACTGTACTTTTGATCACAGAAGATCTCTATGCACATGATGTAAATTAAGATTTTCCTGTCAAAGGTTACAACAATTGAAGTGGTTACGTTTACCAACATCCCTAGAAAAAATCGCTTATGTGTAAAGAGTATACATGATGAAACTCATTTTCTGAAATGAAGAATTTAATACGATCACCGAAGAAAAAGAATTTAAATGTTTCATTAATTAAAACCAAATTTCCAAAAATTTCAGCTTTAGATAATGAAAAAAAAATTGGGGGTAACTCGGTTCTGAAGACAAGGACACCGTCTAAATATAAGCTTATCGTTCATAACTGTTTGTACCGCAAAATGCGGGAAATATTTCCGTGGTTTAGCAGGTGCGTGATCACGTGACACAAGTTTCCCTGACGAAGAATGACGATTCGGTTGTTTACAATATGGCGGATGCCATAGGCGGCAAACCCCAAAAGCTCTACTATAAATCGCAAACGTCTTTTTTGTTAAGGGTGTATCTCTTTTTGTAGGTAAGTGTTGAATAACTTGTTATTTAATGTTTGAGAATTCTACCTTTTTCTGCCCTTTGCTTTTATACAGACGTCTAACGTCTAATATGTTCGAATTTCCTCTAAACACATGACAAAGTTTGATAACAACTTATTTTCATCTTGATTTAGATATTAAAAGGACGATAGATAATGAAAAAAAGATATTTGTTTTATTCTGTTGTTGATTTTAAGAGATTGGCAATATATATTACTCGCATTTATAGAAAATCCAGCTGATAGGCATGCACGTACTTTCATTTTTAGTTTTTCTCTCATTTTTAAACAGCAATGTTGTGAATATTTAATTATTTTGGGTTTGACACATTTTTTGGTATAATGGTTTTTGTGGTCATGTAGATTTGTTTAAGAAGATTGATATGGGTAAGTTTACTGAAAATGTTGAGGCTAAAACATGTCATGTGTTTTTTCAGAAACCTATATACTAACGGGATAAGCAACTCCTTAAGCGCCATGTTTATTTACCCAAAACGGCACATACAACACTGCAAGTTTTTCAAACTAAGTTTTTTCCCAGTAAAAAGCTTGTTCTCTGATTAATGTAATCTGTTCTTTTTGTGTATCAGAATGGATATTTAATAAATTTAAAAGCACATATTATAAAATAATTTAGCTATTAAGTAAGCAACCACCAAAATCGGCGATTTCTCAGAAATACGGCCGATCAGGGGCACGCACTGATCAATAAACGTAATTACTACTAAGATACGGAATAAAAACAGTGCTAATAACAAATCTTGAATAATTTTTTTGATAGATAAATTAAGATTTTATTCTGAAATATTTGATAACAAAAGAGATATATTTAATTAAAATTGACTTACGAAATCCCGCAACTTATGAAATATCGCGAGACTTGCGAGAGTTGCCTATCCCATTAGTATATAGGTCTCTGGTTTTTTTAGTAAATGCTGAAATGATTTCAGTTGAATAAAAAGAACATACAGTAGCTAACGTAATGAAGTATTAAATTTCTACATCTAGTTGCTATATTTTCACAGAGCATTTTATTTATCAGGGCTGTTAGAAACAAAAAAAGTTACTTAAAGACCAACAATGTTGGCTTGTTTTACAATCTTGCCTACCAATTAAAACTGTTTAAAAATGCTTGTCGATATCAAAATATCTTTTCATATTCTTAGAAATATGAATATTGTACACCTTTTTTTAATTAATGCATAGATAACTCTAGTATTGATAAAACAATCGAGGGGTTTTTTTGTTGGGGGGGGGGGTCTTGAAAAGGCTGTATAATTATGTACGTAAATGAACAACTGTTACAAAAAATTTCAATTTATCATAGTGACATCATTAGAGTTTATGCAAAAGGTTAAATGATAACAAGTTTTCATCTTTTTCACTATATCTTCTTAAATTTGTAACTTCATTTATTTAGCAATTTTTTTTAAATATTTAGAATAAGGCAGAAGATAAAATAATTATAATATTTCCTTCTTAAAGAAAAAGTTTTACAAAACGAGTTTTATCTCATTTATCTGTTTTAGAGTAAAATTGCCAAATTAAATGTTAAATTTCACGCATGGAACAAATTGAACAAAATTACTTGACTTTATCACCTGCCTTTTTATAAATAGAGAGTATGATGTGAATTTAGAATATATTGTCTTTGGGTGTTAAATAGTTCATTTGGTACAATTGATTGTGATATAAACCTGAAGTGCTTATAGTATTTGACAGACTGATAGATTTCCAGCTCCCCCATGCATGTAAAGAGTGCCTATGTAAAATTACCATTGCAGCACCTTTTGTGTTTGACACTGTTATATTTCTTTTACTGTTTCAACAAGTTGTTGACTATACACATCTACAGCCTTCTGCCTATGAATAATTGATATCCTTCTTAATTAAAGTCCAGCTCAGCTTCAGCATCTGATAAATTTCCAACTTTTATTGTCGACCTATCTAAATTTCTCAACCACTTTTAAAAAAAACAACTGAAAACATAAAATTATGTTCCATTTGAAAAGCTTCTCCAGACATTAAAGCATAAATATGATCCAGATTAGGTATAGTGTGGGCTGTATAAAATGCCAGTGTTGTATAATACCAGTGCTGTAAGCCATTGTCAATGAATTATTAAGTAGTGTAGTGTAACTTCATGGCTACCTTTCCCCAATGTTGCTCAGTTTGGAAAATCAATGAATTTTATTGCCGTTTAATTTCCATGGTTATGATATTTGTTTAAGTCTCAAGGACCATATGATTGACCTAACTATTTTATTGCTCCATATAAAGCCAGAGTTGCATGTACATATTTCCTTAAACAGATTCTGTATTCAGGACTTTTTCTCCAGTTGTATCTGAAGTTTTAAATGGATCATGTTGCATTGTACCCATCAGTTTTTGTTGTGATAATACATGATAGATTTGGGGATAGTGTGATGTAAATGAGTACAATTAGGAATCTTATGAGTGACTATTTCACTACTTCACAGTACTAATAATACACTGGTGAGTATTAGTAAAATGCATATGTATGATTAATATGCATTATCCAAGGCTTAAAAGCTGTGCTTCTGTTTTGGAATTTTTAAAATTTTAGTTTTACCGATTACTTCTTGTATAGGATTTGTCTTGATCCATTTTATATAATTATACATACTAGTAATTGAATCAGATGTGATACTGTATCTGATAATGAATAAATTGATTGTTGATTAATGTTAAAGAGAGGGAATTTAATCAGTATCCTTAATTGAAATTTCATTAGAACAGTAATCCCATTTGTAAAATGCAGATGAAGATGATTAATGAACTTTTTTTTTTCTATCGTAGTATCACAGGTATTTTATGTTTTAACTTGTTTGACTCGATCTTTACTACAGAGTCTGTCAATGAAGGTTGCTACTGGTTGATTGTTTATGTAGCGTAAAGTTTAAAATCTTTGTTTACTGGATATGTTCTGATATACGTATAAAATGTCGATCTTATCTGAGGGGGGCTTTAAGGTAGATACCATTGGGGAGAGGAATGGAATCATGGAGCTTTAGGTGATTTTGGGTTGGTATTTTAAATTGCATAAAACTTTGGCCTAAGTGTTTTATACTGTGTTAAATGTATAGCAATTGTTTTATGCTAAGTTTTCATACAAAAATGTAATTAAAATTTAATTGAGATTAAAATTCTTGACTATTCATTTTAAAATTTATGTAGCATTTTTTATTAATACTGTAGCATTTTTATTAATTACATTCAAAGTTAAAAAAAAATATTTCAAAGGAATTACTACAGTGAAAACATTATGAGCATGTTCTTGGTACCGGGTACATAAATTACTTGGATACATGTAAAGTTTTACATACATGTAATGGCAGTTCACATTTTCATCACCATGCGTTATACCTTTATAGTTAATCAATACATGTTTAAAGGAATATTAAGGTTGTTGGTACTCCTTCACTGTTTTACAACCTCCCAGAGAAATCATATAAAACACCTTGATTGAGGAATGTTGAGTAGCTGTTTTCATGGAGTACCAAATTTGTGTATGTCAAGCTTGTATTGAAGCTTGGAAGTGACAAAATCCTATGTTTAATGTTGTTGTCTTGATCGAAATGCAACATTACAGTTTGCATCTCTGCTCAAATTGCTCAATTCTCATTCTTGGAGAAATCACCAGGTAAAGATCAGACCAGAAGCATTATATTATGCACAAGCACACAGGTAGCCATTGTTTAGAATATACCTGCACTGAAACTTACCTGGGTAATATAATTTAAACCTAAACAAGGACAGGATTTTCTGTTAATAATCTCCCTGCTTGTTTGACTAGATATCAGGCTATTGATACATCAATCCAAAACCTGTCGCTATATCAAACACACTTTCAAATGAGTAGATCTGCAGTGCAAAGATTTCTCGGTAACATGGGTATAGGTGGAAGGATTGAAAGTTCCGATTTAAAATTTCCGTTTTCCTATCTCAGGCGACAATTTGATAGTGTTTCTAATGGCAGCAGCGTGCTTGTGTATCAATAAAGGTGAACGATTATAAGTTAAACTCATAAACATTGAAAACGTTTCATTAAGGATTTTTGTCATTAATATTTGTTGGAATTTAACAGGTTTTTAGAAATCTGGGATATAAGTATACAAAATATGGAAACTGTGCAAGGTATTTAAATGTTCATTGTAATATGCTATATAGAAATGTAAATTGTTCATATGTTCTGTAATGTTATAAGCTTACATACATGTACAGTAAAACATGTTTATAACAAAGACAGAGTGCCAGGGAAGGAAAATTTTGATAAGTAGTTAAATATCCGTTAAGTTCATATTATATTTTAAGGCCAGGCAGAATGAAAATCACTTACCTGTAAGCATCAATTCATTATAAGCTTGTTCGCTATAAGCATGTTTTACTGTATATTCATTATCATCATGATAATAGCTAAATTATTTTTTGTGAACATTAATCTTATTTTAATTCATATGCTAGTTTAAAATGCATCTTTTTGGGAGACTTAATATTCATATCTGTGGGTTGGCACATTTTTCATACTAATTGTTAGGCCATTATTTACACACTGAATTTATGGATTTTTCTGCTTGCTCGATCATAACAAGGAACACATGGTTGGTGTGACTGGTTGACAGGGGATGCTTACTCCTGCATGGCAGCTGATCCCACCTCGGATGCTTTTAGAGATCGTGTTTGCTCTGCTCCCGATGTGTATAGTTTCAGTGGAGTTTTGAGCTTGATTACTGTTTGTTATGTCCGTATTTCATGTAAATCTCAAATAATGTGTTTTTCATATATTGCTTACTGATCAGGTCAGGGAGAATATGAGGGATATGAGATTGCAGAGTCCACAGTTTAGGTAGCAGCAAATCAAGGGTGCATAGAAAATTAAGCGCAACAAATTGATGATGTTGCTTTTCTCTGGTTGCTGCCCAGCATTTTGCTCTCTATTAATTGCTGTCACCCTCAATTGTTGCTGCCCTCTCTCACTTTTTCAGACTCGTGTTCTCAATCCTTCAATTGTTGCTCTTGTTTGTTTGCTCAGTTATATTTTTTCCCTAGTGTTTTCACTCCTGTATCTTAGGGATGAGGAAGAAAGTGGCCATATCAATACACTATTGTATGTTCATATGGCTTGATACTGTTTCAGTACAATAGTATGATGCAGTAATGTTCAGTACATGTATTTTCAAATATTTACCCCTTTAAGTGATTATTTTTTGAGGACAAATCCTTATTAATAAATACTTCCTAGGGCTGTGTATTGAGCAGAATTTTTTGATGCTACATGATATGATACAAAATTTTATAAAGCGACATGCGATATATTGGATTCTTTAACAAGTCTATCAAAAAAATTCTTCTAAATCATTTAATGCATAAAGTTGATAAAAACTGAGTGTTTTATATGTTTATGTTTTATAACCAAATTCGAAGTTCTTGTCTCACTATCATTACAAATTACACTTCAAATTCAAACTTTTAACGACTGTAAAACTAGCATGTTAAAATATAGTTGTCCATGTATTTTGTAGTAATTATATAAGATGTGCTATCTCCTTTAAATATTATCTTTGGTAATTGAAATTCCCAACTTTTTCACAGAATTATAAGGAAAACTGCCTGTCTGATACGTATTGTAAGTTATATTTTGGATATGATACATTCTGGAATATCAATACGTATCGATATATTGACAAAAGTCTGGTGTAAATTTTTTGCTTTATCAGAGAAAAATAAGAAAAATCATGCCTCATGCCTTCCTGATAATTAAACGTTTAATTTTTTGGGAAAATGCTTTTGTATTTAGATCCCTGTAGGTATTCACACACAAGTGTTTGAACATCAAAAAGATCTTCATATTTACTAGAGGTTTTAGCCAAATAATCATGTATCATCAATAAATATCAGATACCTGATCTGCAATGTTCTTAAAGAAATATTCAGACAACTATAGCTACATGTATATATTTTGTAGTATCAAAGAGCTACACTTATACTAAGTAACTCAGCTTTCAGCATGTTCAAAAACAGTTGAACTTCGGTATCTCGAACACGGATATCTCAAACACCATGGATATTTCAAAGTGATTTTGAAGTCCCACCTGCTTATTTCTTAAGTATTTTACCCTGGATATTTCGAATCCTCGGTTATCTCGAAGTATTTTCTCGTTTCCTTCAAGTTCGAGATAACGAGGTTTTACTGTATATTAACTGGACAGGTGCATTTTAAACACTTACAGGCTATAAATCTAACCAGTAATGATATAATCCATCAAAATGTCATGTTGTTATTTGTTTAGTATAAACTTGCACTTAACTTGTAATAATGCAGATATTGCAAGAAAGTGTTCTATTTACTGTAGAATCTATAGAACATATATCATTATGAGAGCAAAATTCAGCAGTTTGATAGCGACGTCATCTTTTCAAGATATCAGCACAAGTTACCACGTTTTGCAGTATTGATTTAAGGCCAATATTATAGCTGCTATAGCTTCCTTTGAAATGCATAATCAGTTAAAAGCTAGTTTTAAGTGCACATAAAAATTGAAATCACATAGAATGCCATTTTTACCCTAGCATGTATGCGTAGAGAAAACTGATTATAAGTATTTAGTTAATAGTTGGGTTACCAAGAGGTTCATTTGTTTTGTTGACATTTTGCTTTATCTACATTTTAGGTATTTATTTCATGATAACAGAAAACACTTCAAGTGTATATAATTTATCTAATTGTATGCCCAAAATAAAATGTTTACTTTCACTTCAGTGAAATCCTTTGATGGCTACCAAACAATTGTTTAACTGTTGAGTTCCCTACACTTTAAACTCAGCTCTCTCTCAAAGAATATAAATTTGCTTATATCTATTAGTCATAGCAACAATGTTAAAACTTTACTGAATAGTCAGACAATTGCTGCATCCCCCTTTTTTTAATCATGTTACAAATGAACATTGATGTAGTCTGGTTGATTAATAATTACTCTACTAGATTGCAACGTATAGTTGCTCATGATGTAGAGTTTGAATGATAATCCCTCAAAAATGTAAATTTGAATATATGTGGATTTCAGATGTATAGAATACTGCTTGAATAGGACACTACAAGTAGTACTGTACTTTGCTTTAACTAATTTAAAATGTAGGTTGGTGGCAATTGTAGAATTAGCTAATAAACCTGTAATAATTTTTCATATTCAAAATTTTCAGTTAGAGAGGAAAATAGAAAACTTTTGAATTTGTAAATTTTCCTTTTCTTTCGAAAGTTGAAGCAAAAGTTATTCAAGCACTGAAATTAGCGAGGCAATGAAACCAGTTTTAGAGGACTTCATATTAAAATCAATGTCAATTTAAAAGTTTTGCTGAAATTCAAATTTATAAAATTGAGATGAGAAAGAGTTTACAATTGTATGATCTATATTTTGTAGAGGAACCAGAAGAGACCCCTCCAACAAAAGTTGAGACTGGGACTAGTCCCATAAGACAAGAGGAGGAGGGTTCTACAAAAGTTGAAGCAGGGACCAACCCCCCAGACCAGGAACAGGAGGGACCAGCAAGAGTGGACACAGGGACTGACCCCCTTGAGCAAGTAGAGGAGGGTCCTTCCCAATCAACCATGGAGGAACAGGCTAGTAAGCCAACAGACCTCAGTCAGAGGGGCTCCCGGAATCTGACACAGATAGATGGGGAGGAAGTGGATACCAGTAAAATGAAATATGTTGGTTAGTTAATGAAGTTTTTGTGTTTGACAGCATCATTTTATTTTCAGAAAAGTTTTTGCAATCCTCAAATTATTGTAGAGGTGGAAATGTATAATCTTGTGAATCTGCCAGATTTTCTTCTAGAACAATGAAAAATATCAAGAACGGGATTACACTTTATTAAGCATCAACTGATTTGAATGAATTTTTATAGCAAAATGTAAAAAGTAAAATGGAGAAATGCTGCTTTTTTACCTATTAGTAAAATGAAAGACATGTTTTGATTTTTATTTCAACAATAGAGGGAGTTCAATGTGCTAGGGTGGATGTCATGGATACAGGGTTTGCAGTGCCAGAGGTCATCATTATGGAAGGTCAAGGAGTTTTGTTTGAAAAGGGAGGCAGAAAGACCCTGGAGATTGTTCAGGTTATAATTATTTCCACAAATTTAAATTATTTCGTTATTCTTTTTTTTTTTACAAGACCCTCTAAAATTTGCCATGAGATACTTTACTGTTACATGTATTCATAAAGTCTGTGACTGATTTGGTTACCTAGGTGATCCATGATGGTGACAACCTAAGACCTGTGATTGGTGGATTTGGTTCCAAAGATGCCAAGGTCAAGGACAAAGATGATAACTATATACAACAATTCAACTTAGAAGGAGAATATAAATTTGCAGTGTAAGCTGAAGATAAAAGTCGCACTGTGATCTAGTTATAAACTAGCATTTTGAGAATTGAGGGTTCCATTCTGTGTACAACTTAATATTCATGTTTTCAGTGGGATCCATTCTGTGTACTCTACAAGTTAATGTTTTCAGCTTAGTTTTCAAAGTTTCTTTCTCTTTTAGGTCTAAGATACGTTGTACACCTCTGACTGTGATTGTAAGACGACGTCTGCCGTTGAGGGCAGGAGTGACAGACGATGGTTTTAACCCCCAGATCATTGCTGTTGACCAGGGGGACACGGTTGAGTGGTCATGGAAGGACTGTACTGTGCCCCACTCCGTACAGGAAGTGAATTATCTGTTTGACAAAGGAGTGTTTGTCAAAAGTCAGTGGGCAGATGGGGCAAGGTATGTGTTTTATGTATGAAGAAAATCTGTAAAGAATATACTTACAGTAAAACATGGTTTTGGCAAAGTGTCAGGTATTAAACAACTTGATTCATAATAAATGTAATTTGTTGTATATCTGTTAAATGCATATATAGTACTGGTATGTTTAAAACCTACAGGGAATATAAATCACTTTGCTGTAAGCATGAATTCATTATATTTCCATTGTTTCCAGTTTTATTGTAGTTATTTATGATGAAAATTTCATTCTCAAAGACCAGTTTCTTTTGAAATTCTGATATAATTGTTAAAGACCTTTATCATATACTAAGTAGTAAATACACCGATTCTGCACTTTGCAATATGGGTGACGTCACAATACCCCATGTCAAGGACCGGTCCAAAAATCCATATCACGTGTAGGGTTGGATACCGGTACTCGGTACCAAAACCATACCGAATAGTTACTTCAAAAATACCGGTAAAATACCATTTCATTTAATATCGGTACTAATAACGGTACTATTTCTTAATCTTAGAAACATTTTAATACATTCAAAATGATTTAAAACTCGCTAAAATAGAATTCTCTGCACATTGAAAGGGTAGGCTAATTAACGAAATGGATGCTTAGTATGACTATACGACACTTGCTTTCGACTGCCAATATTCGAGGTAAATCAGTATGTATATCTCTTTTATTAAGATTAATCGTGTTTAACTTAATTAATAAAAACTGATAATAAATGTAAATTAAAAAGGCAAAATGTCGCAATAATATGATGTGCATTTCTATCCATCTTCTAATGTCTCGTTGTTTAGTGTGACCAAACAAAATGGGTCCTAGCAACCATGGAAGTTGTGTATACTTGTGATTATGTATCTATTCAAGTTAATTTGTTTGAGATTTAATTTATTTGTTTTGTTGGTCATTTATTAAAAGGTTGAAATATAAACATAGTTTATAAGCTCATTTTAGGTTATAACATTGAAAGGTTGATGATTGGTGAAAGCATATTTGTTATGAAATGAACCCTTATTCTCATTCATCAAGGTATAGTACCATATCGTTAAAAATACCTCATCGTTTCAAAAATACTGGTATGGTATCGTACTGTTTCATTCTTAACGGTATCCAACCCTAATCGCGTGTCGGACCAGCGTGCAAAAATCCATATCAAACTGGAAGTAACGTTTGTATAAAATTTAAAAGTTAATTAACTTGATTTTATTTCAATATACATGTAAAATAATTCTTTATGAACATTTGTGGACTAATTTGTTTTGAAAGATGTATTATTGGCGCTATTAGATTTTAAAGAAAAGGGTCATAGACATGCAGGAAACATTCTTCAATGACTTTATGTTAACTCGCATATTAAGTATTTTAAATATATGATAAATAGAATACTACACACTGAAATCCATATCATATGTCATATCAGCCCTCAGGCCCCATATCAGCCCTCGGGCTGATATGGGGCCACTCGGGCTGATATGACACATGATATGGATCTTAGTATGTAATATTCTCTATATATTAAACTTATTAAAGGTATCACTGTACACAGAAATTTCCTTCTAGTTTAATCAACTACATGTATTTATGATTTAAGACATGTAAATCTTTTAATCATGATTATCTTTTTTCAGTAATGTTGTAAGAACAATCACAGGACACTTCTCAAAAAAATTTCCGTAAGTCTGATTTACATTGTATATATATATATAACGACTTTATTATTAACTTTTTAGTAGAGGTAATAATTGTACATGGTGCATTTTGAATAGGAGAAATTATGCATCAAAAAAATTTACAAGAAAACATTTTTCTTTTTATCAGGCGTCCAGGAATATACTTTTTTCAGACAGAGAGTTCCGAGCTTCATAAACAACATTTCTGTGTTGTGAGAGTCCGGCAAAGCATCAGGTATTAAAGAGAGTTATCTATTGAGAAAGAATTAACATTAAGGAATGTTTCCTAAGTGGATCTTCATGATAGTTAATAACAATTTCAATTTAATATTCCTTTTGTGTGCCTAGTTACCTAAATGTATGGCAGTACGTGCCATATGCCATTTCTTGGAAGTACAGGATGATATTGAAAAGTGCTCTTCTTAAATATAGTCTAGTTTTAAAGGTTTGCCTATTAAAAAGTACGGGAAATATTAACATTAAGTTCCCTAACTTTTGCTTAAGACTTGACGATGTTGAATTGCTTTACTGTAAATACATTTGATGACCGTAGGGAGTACAAAGTGGAGATATCAGACCGTGCCTACCACCCCCCTGTGTTACTGATAGAGACAGGGGACAGAGTCTGGTGGTACTGGGACAAATTCAAGGTAGAGATTTGAACTCTCAAAGTTTTTAAAACTCTGAGCAAATTTATTAAAAATTATAAAAAAAGAAGTTTTAGATAAATAAATAAAAGCAGTACCGGTAGCTTTTGTTTTATTTTGTATTAATTTAAGAGGACATGAATAGACAGAGGTCAGATTTTTAAAAAAATAATTGCTTTTAAAAAAGAGGCCATCATTATTCTAGATTATACAATTTTAGGTAATAACCCTGACATTTTTTTTGTGTGTTCACAGTGCAAGAAACACCATTGTGTATATCAGATAGAGGCCCCGACCTTGAACCAGGATGATGAGGAACCATATCAACCGGTTCAGAATGGCTTCAGGTGGAGTCAACCAAGGTAGGGGAGATAATCAATTCTCCTGTTAGTTTATTTATTTAAACATAACCACTGGTTTTCATTGAATTGTTATGTTATATGATGGTAAACTGGGTGCTATCTGGACTTCTATATAGTTTACTGTTAAATATTGCCACTTCCTAAATAATTAGACCTATTGCAACTGATTCACTTAGCCTATTTTATGTTAAGTTACAGTTTATGTGATATAGCTTTGTTAAATTTGTGCCATATAAAATTTACTAACTATTGAAGGTGACAACGAAAAAAAAATATTTGAAAGGGGGGTCCACAATATGTCACAAGAGAAAAGACTTATCAATAAGTTGATAAATGAAGTGGTTTGATTTTTGCTCACAAACAGGAGGCATGTATTAAGTGATTGACATAATCTGTTTTACAGTAAGCAGGGTCTGCTGTCTCATGTGTTCACAGAACCTGGAGTGTTCTATTACTCGGACCAAAACTTCCAGGAGGCAGCTGAGTACATTGGTACTGTGATAGTCAAACCTAAACCAAAGGAACACAGGGTAATGATCAAGGAGGACGGTTTTGAACCAGGTAACCTCATAGCACAGGACAATACAAATGAAAAGTTATGATTGGTGTAATAAATTTCAGTATCATACTAATCATTTTTTATTTTTTGCCTTTTAATCTGAACAGATGTAGTACGAATCAGAACAGGAGAGAGAATCTGGTTCTGGTGGAACCCCATTCTGTTTTCAAAGAAAAATATTCCAGTTTTACTGAGGGAGGTAGAAAAATGTCTGAACCCAGCAACGAAGCGACCTTCCACACCAGAGGATGAATGTAAGTCAGGAAGGTGGTCTTAAACACAGTCTTAAAATTCCATAAACTGCAAAGTTTCAAAACTGCAATCTCTAAAGCATAATGTACATGTAGATCAATGTATTGCTATATTTGCATTCATTGTGGAGGATAAATTTACAGTTCAGAACTACAAATAAGTTTTGTTGTAAAACTAACTTTAGTGAATAATAAATCTTATGGAGAAAGGAAAAAATTTAAAGATTGTGGAATTGCAATAATTAGAAATAAAGAGAACTTTGTTTTTTTATCTGCAGCTAAATACCAGCACCCAGATGAGGAGACTGTAAAACTGATCACAGATGTGGGATTTGCAACAGTTTTTTATTCCACAACTGGAGTGTACCATTACAGGGTACGGAACTCGACTGTGTGTTCTGTGATAGTCAGCCCAGGAGAAAAGGTCAGTGATGTTGTAGTTATTTCCCTTGTATATGGACAATGTATAAATTGCAGTTTGCATTATTTGGGTTTTAAAATAGCTTTCATTTGTTTGAAAAAGAAAATTCAAAATATAATATTATCTGGCAAAAGGGAACTTACAGAAATATTACAAGCAAAAAAATTTTGCTTGTTTGGATATAAGTCCTTGAAAATCTTTTTTCATATTTAAACATGAAAATTTTTTTCTTGTTTCTGTTTTTCTCAGAATCACACAATCCACCTGACAGACAGCGGTCCAGAACAGAAGGTCATCATGTCGGTCCGACCCAATGACCGGGTCTGGTGGGTGTGGCAGAGCACCAAGAAGCAGCATAATGTCATACAGGTGTCCCATCAAGGTGATCCCATCCCTGGGGGATTCTGCAGCGGTATGCCTCGGGACTCACCCTCAGCTTTCGTACACACCTTCGAATTTCCAGGAGTATTTTACTATAAAAGGTAAAATTAGGTTGATTTGTGTGCTAGGTTGTAGGTAATTGATTTTTCAAGATTTACTAGTTTTTTTTGTTTTGTTTTTTTAAATCAATTTTGAATTTTACCATCTGAGTAAGTTACAACATATGAAATATGCAAACTTGTAACATAAGAAAATTTTACTTTCTAGTCAAAGTTTACCAAAGATATTTGGAGCAGTGGTTGTGACCACACAGCCAGTGGTTCACGAGGTGGAAGTAGGACCCATCATACGTCCTGACCCCATCTCTGTCAAAGTTCACGACATTGTGTGCTGGATCTTTAGCAAACCACAAAAAGAGAATGTAGTCGAAATCACCCATCCTGACCAAGTTACAGAAGATCTACAGTGTGAAGAAGTCAGTGCAAGGTCAGTTTTTATTGTCTGTCTGTCTAGCTGTACATCTGTCTGCTTTGTATGTCTGTCTGTCTGTATGTCTTTCTCTAAGGCTGTCAGTTTGTCTAGCTGTAAATCTGCTCATGGTCTTACCACTGTCTAACTTTGTAATGGCTTCACATATCACTTAGTGCCATGTAGAGAACTGTCAAAGCATTGCTCATTAAGTTTTTACTGTTTTAATTTTATGATTGATTTATTTTTAGGTCTTGTTTGAGCAAGGCTATAGACAAAACAGGAGTGATGCATTTCTACAGCAAGTCCTTCAACAAACAAAAGAAAAATGTCGAAAATGTAAGCTTTACAATAGATCTTGCAAATTCCACATGAATTGTAATTTGTTTTAATCACAAATATTTTTTTCTTTGACACATGTTTTAATTCACTGAAATATAAAATGTTTACATTTCCAATGTCTTTGTGTGAGATAAAATTTCAAATAGTAAAAAAAACTTTATTTCTACATAAATCTACTGGTTCATTGATAGGCGTGTTGAAAAAAAATCACGAGCGGGGCGGGACGAATAGAGACAGAAGCGGGGGCTTGTAGCATGTGAATTTGCAGAATTAAGAGCATGTACATATAAGGAATAACTGTCAGATTTTGGGGTTTCATGACGATGATCAGTCGATTGGCTTGCGTGATAATTTTATGCATAAACGCCTTCGGCGTTTATGCAAATTATCACGCAAGCCACTCGATTGATCACATCATGAAACCAAAAAATTAGACAGTTATTCCTTAAGTGCATCCACAAGTGTATATGATGACCACTGTTTCTTGACTTTAAAATTTCTTAGCATATGCATCTATAGTGAAATTAAAACTCCATTATTTTTTCACCTATTGAGCTAATTTTTCACAAAATTTATCTACAGTACCAAATTGAAAATACTGTATAAGGCATTATAACAGTATAATTATTCTTGATTTGTGAGATGATTTGTTTCTTCAGTACCTGGAGGATGTGAGATTTAGCAGTGTGATCAGTGATGAGCGCTATGACAACACAGTCATCAAAGTCGACCAGCAGGGATTTCATCCACATTTTGTATATGTACAGAAGGTATGGACAGACTCTATAATTATAGTATTTAAAACTGGTTTAAGACTGTCTTTTTGATCAAAGTATATATACAGTAAAAATTGCTTATTAGGAATTTCTTGAGATATAAATTTTTAGTTCCTTGTAACCAAAGTACTTAATATCCATATACAGTAAAACTTGATTATAGCCAAGTTCTAGGAACCTGTGAATTTACTTTGAACACTATTTCCATATTTGGTTATATCCATATAACGAATTAGTTAAAGTATATACATGTATAAAAAATTCGCAATATGCATTTTTTCCTTCAAATGTGACTACCAAATATGTACTGGGTGGTATTAAATACAAAATTTTCCCTAAAGTTTCTAAAGATTTCTGATGAATTGAATTTCAGATATTAATACTAATGATAAATAATGCCACATAAATATTTGAGTTTTAAGATACCGAAAATTCATTATAAAAGATGTAATTTCGTTATTTTTAACCTCTACGGGACACAAAAACAGTTCGCTATATCCAGAAATTTGCTATATCAGAGTTACTTATAATCGTTATATTTTCCTAGGATTTGTTTAGAATTTTGCGTGGGATAAAAAAAAATTCACTATATCCGTGAATTTGCTATATCCATGTTCATACTAAATGAGTTTCACTGTAAGAACATATTATGATATGAGAGATGGGGAATTCTTCTTATCATAACTGAGAATTACTAATATCAGAGTTCCTTATAAGCGAGTTTTACTGTATAGAAACTGACATTTTATCAGTTAGTAACTGACTTCAGATTGTCCTTCGAAGTGTTTTAGTCTTTTTAAAGGGAGGTAACTTTTAACAGGCAACAATTTCAGAAGTACAATGAGAAATGTTTAAGAATACTTGTAAACTTTGATTCGGTTTTTAATTATTAGGGAGAAAGTGTCAGATGGACCTGGATCAACACGGATGAGGAACACAATATCATCCATGTCACCTCTCCAGATAGCAAGGTACTAAACACTGGTATTACAAAAGATGTAAAAAAAATTGTAGTGATTCATTATTTAATTTAATGGAATTCTATTCATGAAAGATGTAGTTAGAATAGATTTACTTAATTGTTTTGCATTATCCTTTAATCAAGGACCGTTTTGGAAGAATGAACCCTCAAGTGAGTCCTGTCTGTGATAATTATTCATGGTCATACTATCATTTATCCTATTATCCACCACTCTTCCAAAGGAAAACCAGTATCTAGCATTAAAATTTATGTAGTATTAACTTTCATAAAAATATGTTACCCTACATTGGCCAAGTTTAAGGGAAAATTTCGTATTAGATTAATTCACTGTTTCTTACTGTTATATAATTGTTTAATCTGGTAATATGTATGGTTGCTGGAATTTGAAATAGTCTTGACTGAATCATTTAATACTGAGTCAAATTTTAGCCTTTGCATTTGCTACATGCATATTTTTCTCTGATGAAATGGTGCTAAATGTTTAAAATGACATGTATTTGTCAAATAACCTATAATTTTGAAAAAAGAAGAATTGTTTTGTATGACATGAATCTTACCATTTCCTCCCCTTACAGATATGAATAAAAACTAACTAGTCTAGAAAGTATTTAGTATTTTCTGAACTCTTGTCATTATTTATACTGTCTCATAAAATTTTGTAATTTTTCGAAGCCTTTCTGAGTACTTTTTCCTCTCCACATAAGAGAACATGTGGTACTTTTCCTACTTCTCCTAAATACTAATGGGACTTTACTAGTAGTAAAACATTAAAAAATCTGTTCAACATTTCAATGAAAATAACAGTTCAATTGATTTTTTTTTAAAGGAATTCAATTTGATTCATTTATTTATGTTTGTATGTCAAACAGCAATGAAACTGTTTTTTTAAACCAGAGCAAATATATAAAATTTTTAAATTGCTTTACAGAGTTAATGGTGCCTTTCCAGGATTGTTTGTATACATTGTATTAAATGCTTATTTCTGGCCAACAGGAACCCCTTAATGTAGTTGGTGGTGTAAAATCATTTAACAGTGGCAAACAGGTAAAAAACAACAGCTTCCTCTACACATTTGACGAGCTCGGTAGTTTCACTGTGGCTTCCCAAGGTGCACCTGGATATTCCTGTACGGTTCACGTCATAACATCAGGTAAAAATCATATTAAAATGATGATTAAATTCTTTCATATTATCTCATTAGGTTCCAATCAAGGAAAAAATTGTCACTGGAATCCGAGGTTTTCGGAGCGGCATGTTGGAGAAAAATCGAGAGTTTTTACACACATTTGATAGGATCGGACAGTATTTTATCATGTCTGAGGGGGCGCCAGATGAAATCTGTACTGTTTTTGTGGTGGATGGTAAGAGAGGCGTGAAATTTTGCATACTTGGGAGCTTTTTGATAGCTAACATGCATCTAGAGTAATGCCAAAAAAGCTGGAACGTTGCCTTAAGGGAAAAGGCAGAGTGATCGATGTGCTTTTAATGTGCATTTTTTAGGGAAAGATTGAGCATATATGGAGCTTGATTTATTAGCATGCATGGTAAACATTTAATATGTATTAAAAGTGTCTGAAGTTGGTGCATTGAATTAATTGATTGTGGAGTGTAATAATAACATTTGAAGTGTTTTTACTTGTTTTATGAAATAGATTTAAATATTAAAGCCAAAAGTTGCTTACTTTGTGCATGTTCTTCTTCAGGGCAGTAGAGATCTTGGGCCATAATAGTCCTCAAAGCTTATGTGTAAAGTAGTTTGTAAAATATTTCTATATTTTGTAACCTTCAGATGACCAGTTGCTATCTGTGTTCTTGTCTCTCACTGTAAGACGTGTGAAAACTTTCAACAATTTGAGCTTCTTTTAAACAGCTGGACTAATTTCAGCCAAATACTAGGATTCATATATTAAACATATTTGCTATAATTGGATTAGAAAGGGGGGGGGAGTACATTATGATCCTATCTTTACTTGTGATGAGGTAAAAACTGTCATATTTAAAAGATTTTTTTCTTCACTCTTGGACACACAGCAGGTAAACTGTTTAGCAAAAAAGTTAATTATTTAAGGATTCTGAATTCTTGTGTGAGTCGTTATGTTATATGTAAATGTAGAGATTATAAAGGTTCTTACAGGTCTGTAGCATTTCTGACCAGAAGAGATATCATGTTCATATGTCAACATTAATGTTCCATGATCAGGGGATGTTAAATGTTGAAAATTTTTCAGTGTTCTTCACTGCATTATCTGCCTTTCCTTGATTTTAGTGTGCCCTATCAGGGTATACTTTGAATTCCTGCCTTCTTTGAGGGTTTTTAGGGGATTTTATTTTTTACCTCATTGGGATAGCTCTAGTTTTGGAAAGATTGAGAAATATAATATCCATTGTCTTTATGGTAAATAGAAGATTGATTTGTGAGCTACATTTTTCACCTTTTTCAGCTGATCATGTAAAGGAACCTTCGGTAGCTCCAAACTCCTTGAATGGAGGAACTGTTGATCAATTCAGCAAGATAGAACTGGTCTGTGAAACACTCGGATCCAAAATTTTCTACACCACTGATGGATCCCCACCTGAACTTCACATTGAATCAGCAAAGGTAAAACTTGCATTGATTAAATTTCTTATCAATAGATAGGTCAAAGATTAAATAAGATAAGTCATTTGTTACATTTTGCAAAAATTGATCATGATTAAGATTTTCTTACGTGGAAAAGTGATAGGTGATATTATACAACAATCAATGACTAAAGAACTCTCCAGGAAAGAAGAGAGATTTGCTTGGCAATGGCAGACATGAAGACTTGCCTTTAAGATTTATAATCCTAGCAAATCTAGGCCCTGAAAGATAAAATTTTAAATGTTTTCTGTTTCTTGATTTTTTTTTCTCTAGCTATACAACCCAGAGAAAGGTGTCATTCTTAAGAAACATGGACTGTGTTTTATAAGAGCTATGGCAGTAAAGGAAGGACTCCTCAATAGTTCCATTTTTACCTCTAAGTAAGTAACTTGGGTTAAGACAAAGCATGTATTTTAAATATACAGTTAAACTTTGATTGGTGTCTCAAACATCATTATTTCGATTATCATGCACATGTGCAAGTCAGCTTAAAGTCCTTAATATATCTCAATCTCTTGGACATCTTGAAGTTTTTCTTGGTCCCATTGAGTTTGAAATATTGAGGTATGACTGTATAATGTTAATTGGAATTGAATTTTTATGAATTACAAAATTCATTTTCAACAAAATTTAATCCCATGGTATTATCATTTCTCTTCAAAAGATGTAGATATGCTTATGTTAATTATCTTTTTAAAATTTGGATAATGAGTTGTACATCATATTGTACATTGTACACTGTAATTTTGAAGAAAATCATAGAAGACTCATACATGACTCCCAATTCTGTTAGCTAATTAACTTATAATTTACCCTAAGATTCTAGTATTTTATCATTCAAATAAGACATGTTAGAAATCACTTACAAATTTTTTCGTCTTTTTTTTTTTTGATAAGCACATATTCCTTTATTTTACCTGAACTTTAGGACCATATATGCACCATTTCATTATAAATATTGTAGGCGATACTGGGTTTTGGCCAAAGAGGGTACGGTGGAGGAAAGTTCCTCAGAAACAGAGACATCTGGTGACCAGAAGGAGGAGAAGCGACAGACTCCGCAGGTAAAAATCCTCTTAATTGTAAAAGAAAAATTAAAGTTTTGCATATTGAGGGGAAAAGTTTTCAGTATAATATCCAAGAAACCCTGCAATTTCTGAGACATGTTCTCTCCCCTTTTTTATGTAGAAAAATGATAATTGGGACTGGTGGAGTTGTGCGCCGACCGTCAAAGCGTGCTTTACTGACCCCGGGGTCATGGAGGTTTTCTGGGAGGAGCCTAATGCTATCCAGAAAAAACTCATCAAAGGGTACCAGGTAAACGGTCTTTTCTTTGTTTTTGATTACCTTGTCATGCATTTCAGATGAAGCTGTGCATAGTTTACTTAGTTTGAAGGACATTTTAGTTGTAGTGTACACTTAACCCAGCTTTGACCTAGCTAGCTAAAAGTACATGTACTTGTATATGCCTTCTTGCAGTGAAATTTGCAGAACCAAACCAATTTTATAAAGATGCTTATGAATGCGTTATCCTAGAGAAATTCCAGCATTTAAGATAATATTGAAAAAATTGAAATTTTATTGTGATTGTTAATTTTTTTTTTTTTTTTTTTTATCAGATTTTCCTGAATGGAGTGAGGTACTGTGAAATGTTCCCTCCCAATAATAATAGTCTTAACATCACTGGACTGGCAGGAAATCGGATATACGAGGTTTATGTAGAGGTCTATTCTCTGGATAAAAAACTCAACCCTCAGACCTCAAACAAACTGGTGAGTTGTCAGTTTATCAATAAAACAGCTGCTTCAATGCTTAAACTATCCCCATCCACTCCTAAATTAGGCCAGTAAAGCACATTTATTAACAAAACACAATTTAAGATTATACACAATTGTTGAAATATTACTTTGTCATATTGTTTATCACTGAAGTCATATGCACACTGCAAAATCCTTACAAAGGCCAGGTAATTCAATTTACCTTGCATATTTTCATAATCTCAACCCCTTCTATGAATTCTTGTTGTTTTCCCATGATCTTGTAAACAGTGTGAAAATAAAAATAGTTAAATAGCTTAAAAGATTGTTATTCTGGGCTCCATTTTACAAAAAAATTACGACTATGACCATGATGTAATTCTGTGAAAATTAATTTTCTTTTTAACATTAATCTCAAGGTGGTTTTAATCTTTTTTTTTAAAAGAATTTAGAAACTTTAAGGTATTTTTATGCAAGCAGTTTTTAAGAGAATCATATCAGAAAATTTTACAATTAACTTAAGTTTTGATCTTAGTTGTAAAAGGCCCCTAGCTGAGATGTCAACAACAAAGAAAATGTATATATGAACTTCACCTTAGTATTAAAATTGAAGAAACTTGGATAAATGCACTAATCTAAGTTGAATATTGATATGTGTCATTTTTATCTCTTCAGACAATGAAGGTGCCTCTGATGACAAAGGAGGGTGGACCAGTAATCTCCCTTGAGCGGGCTAACAAGCAGGATGCCCTGGTTGTGGTATGGATGTCTATCGACACCACTGAGTACCCCATCAAGGGCTACCTCGTGTTCCTAAATGATCAGCAGTGTGGAGCTATGGTGAGTCTCATTTTTCTAAATTGTTTAATTTGAAATCCTGTATAGAATGAACTTGCAAGGAATTTAGTAATTGGACAGAGAGTATGCGTTGATGTTAATGACTTTTGGGTGCTTTAAATTGGTTTTCTCAGACTATTGCAGCATTGTTAATGGGGAGGGGGAAACTGAAAACTTTAAGTTAACTCATTGTTAGGTTTATGAATATAGCATTTGATGAAAAGTTTAAAGTAAGAATTTGGAATAACTTTTTGTACACAAAGGAAATAAGTACCACAATATTATGAGATGCCAGTATATATTGATTCTAGTTTTTTATGAATTCATTGCATCATTATCCAATTTCTTTTCATTCATTTCGTTTTTCTTTGGTGCTTATACTTCCTTGCTATGATTTGATCTTCTTTCTAATGTTATAATATGTCTAGAGTTATGAACTATTAAATATTTTGATTGAAAGGGTTTAAATCCCACTGCTTGCAGAAAAGAATACATTATATAACATTTTGAATTAATAAATCTGCCCCCCCCCCTTTTTTTTGTGGGGGGGGGGGGGGGGTGTCTTTTATTTTCTGAGACAAATATTCAAAATGGTAAAAGTTAATATTAAAGACAACTCATAACTTATTTCCACAAGTTAGTAGGATTAAGCCATATCAACAGGTACATCAAAAAATTTATGAACAGGTTGAGGAATGATTTAGTACTACATGAAAAATTTAAATCCCTTGACATGGTTTTGTGATTAATCCATTTGGAACTTGAATAGCCTTTACGTTTGATTAGAAGGCTCGTATTATTAGCTACATGACTTTAAATGTCTGGTATATGTTGTTTAACCTGACCTGTGGTTACTAGTGAGTGGTGTATATTAAGTACATTTAAAGTACAAATCATCAAAATTCTGAATAACTTCTCTTTTGTGAATGTACATATAAAGTTCTATATGTCTCTGGACATTGCATGGATAAGGAAATCTCTGATTTCAGGTAAAATTTTGATTTAAGAGCTGAGTCAATTTGCAAAACCAATCTTTGGATTGATGATGCGTGTTATATTGTCTGCATACTAATGTATAAATGCATGTATATATTAGTTTTACAATATAGGTATAAAATAGGTATATTTAATTAATACCACCCTTAAACTTGAGCATTGTTTTTTGTTTGTTTGTTTTTTTTTAATTAAAATTAGTTACTACTATAGGTACATTTTAAGTGCTATCATGACTATCATCTTAAACTTTAATTAACATGGCAATTATATTGTAAATCTTTTTGAATTTCAACAGCTTCTATGAAAAATTATTGTAAAATAAGTTATCTTTTTTTTTTTAAATTATATACTTATTAAGTGAGGTCTGAGCTACGGTTATTGCAATTGTTCATAAAGGTTGCATGCCATATACTGAAATGGTATAATTTCTTCTTTGTGCTTTGGACTGTACAATATCTGGCATGTAGAAGGGAGGGAATAATACATTATCCCATACTCAATCACCTTGTTATTTACACTCCCATCGAACAATTGATTTAAATTTTTCAGAGCACTGAGACACCATTTTATATGTTGGAAGAAGCTTTTCACAAAGAATTTGTTTATTTTCACATACCCAATATTTAAACAGTGCTTAATGCTTCCAAAAGCCATTATTGATTAGCGACAGTTTCCTCATTATTCAAAGTCTGTTTTTAATTTTTTTTTCTTCTAACACAAGCTTTATTTATTTTTTAATATCCATCTCTGGAGAGGAAATTAATTCTTGGTCAATAATTAGGTATTCCTGAACACCTCAAGTGTATTTACTTGTTTTGTTTATTGTTACAGGTAGAGAGAGCATTCTCAATTATTCATGATAACATTATCAACTTTCATCTGTGATCTTTAGTACTCTTGACTATATTGGAGTTTCCTATAGCAACCTTGTTATATTTTTTAGCTTGTGCCTGATCCAGACAAGAACCGATGTAAGGTTTTCATTGGTGGATGTGAGCTGAATAAGGAGCATAGGATCTATGTTGTTGCTCTACCAAAAGGTAAGTGTCAAAAACCAATAACTTTTCAGGACTAAATTTTAAGTGTTTGTATTGCAGGGATTTCTATTCACACTTCAGTCAAATCCTGTAATACAAATCTTTTTCTTTTTTCAAAGTCATGCATCTTTGTTTGATATTTTACAAATACTATGAATATGCTTTTGTGTAATTCTGGATTAGGAGAGAGAGCAGGAAAACAGAGATGAAGACTTTGTGGAAACATTAAATAATTATTAAATTAATTATAGCTAGACAGTTGCATAATTGTAAGGTGTCAAAGAAAAAATGATATATCATATATCCACAATCAGCCACATTTCCAAACTGTCAACAATCTATGAATGTAAATTTACTGTAAACTATGTATTGTGGTGTCATATGTTATCAGAATCATTTTTATGGTATTTTATCAGTCAGTTCTATGACCTTTTGCTCTGAAATCTTATTTTCTCGTTGATATATTTGTCAGATGGTACAAATGGTGAGTTTACATTCAATTGAACACAGAGCTTCTTTTCTATAGTTTCGGAGTTCTATCTCTGCATATTTGCTTCAGTGGCTTACCAAGCCTAGAAAATAGAGAAGGATAAAAATTTAACTTTTCATTGGAAATAGTGATGAATTTATTTATTTATTACCAGTAGTATGAATCTCATTCATCACATCATATCAGTAGTATATTAAGCACAGTTAAAGGCTTTCAGTCTAGGTTTAGTAAAGTGGTGTTAATGGAGATTAAAAGTTCATTTTGAAAGCTGTATATTTGATATATGTACGAAGTCTAACTTGTATTTACTTTTGGAGGAAAGTTTTCAAAAGAATATTATCTACAAGTAGTAGCAATTATTAGACGATCGAACCAGCTGTTGTATATATGCATCAGATGTATAATTCTGTACTATTCAGAGTCTAGTTGCCTTAATGTTAGAATCTATTAAAGAAAGAGTGTGTTAGTACACTACCTTTGTGGAAAAGGATTAAACTGCATACATTTTGACATTTTTTTTATTTTTTACTTTGCACAAGATGATGCCTGTTAGATTAGATTTAGCAAAATTTCTTTCTGAATATAAATATGGAAACAGAGAGGTTTTTTTTCTTGGTATCAGGAATGTTACTAACTCTTTATTCATGCATGAGAGATACTCAAGTAAATTAAAGGAACATAAAATACCATTTACTGGTTCATCTCAAGTTATGAATGTTGCATTTGCAAAAATCGTTTACATAAATGTCAAAAGACACGTTGAAGTTTTCATGTGAAATAACTCTCTAGTGATTTGTTTAACAGACAATGTTGAAGATGGGCGTATGTCCAATGTGATAGAGGTGGTCCTCCCACTGGATACCTCACAGATTGTACTTCCTGACGAGGACGAGAGACTGGACCAAGAGGAACTCTACCAGGAGTACATCTCTATACAGGAAGGAAGTGGATATCTGGCAGCCATGGATGGTAGGCACTTCCTGTTGGTGATCTTAGATGTTGTGTGCTGGGTTTTTCTTCTTTAACTTGCTGTTTTGATTTATCTGTGATGGTGTTTTAGAGCTTTTTTTGTAGTGTTGTGTTGTAAGGCAACATCTGATTCATCATAGACTTAATAGATTGTTTTAAAGCAATGATAATTTTATATTCATGTGAATCAAGTTTAATATTTTACACTTTAAATATTATTTTTTTTTTTTTTTTTGGAAAAAATTGAGATATGTAGGCTTTTGATTAGTGATTCAGTAATAATAATTTGAATTTTAGGTGCTTGAAGGCAGTTCTTTGATATAACTGTTCAGATCAAGATATATTTCTTGCATTAATTTTCGTTTCATCTCTGTAGCCCAAACACTTTTATTAATATTCGTATTTCATTCTACAGTTATCCAAGTGTTTCATCAAATACACGTTCTTGCATGATCACCTGTTCAAAGGGTTCTTTTAAAATTAAAAAAATTTCAATTAAACTTTAAAAACTTTAAAAAATGTTCTTTTAAAAAATTATCAATACTTAAATCTTTTTTTTTTAAAATTTTTAACATATTAAAATTGAAAATTTGAATAGGGAGAATATTCTAAAAAAAAAAAAAAGTTCTTTTAAAATTGTCGATACTTGAATTTTTTAACATATATTATATTGAAAATATGAATTTTGAATCAAGAGAATATTTTGTTCACACATTGTGATTCTTTATTGGTTACATTTTAATTTAGCTAGTTAATGTTTCATTATGGTGATTTCTTCCTTGTATTGAGGACACACTTGAATAAATTTGTTTGGTGTTGTGTGTTTGAAGTGCTTTGTATTTTTGCTTGAGCTTTTCGTATTTCACATCATTCTTCAGCAAAACGTCATCACATTGAAACTAACAACGTACCACCTCTCACTACCAGCTACCAGTATACATCAAGTAAACAACCCACGGGTAAATATGTCGGTTAAAAAATCTATTGTAGTCAGTTCTGGCATTTTTGTCAGCCATTTGCCTTTTTATCTTTAAGAAACTTGAAATAAACTGATAAATTGTCGTCATGAAAAAATAAATAGTCTGCATGCTTATTTACCTCCTCTTTTTTTTACAGCACTGATGTACAAGTAATGGATATATTCAAAAACTAAATTTGTATAGTTTTATAGGGAAGTTTTCATGATAAATACATGGAATCTGTTTTTAATCATACTTAAGAAAAAAATTAATTTCCTCAAATTTTAATTAAGTTATTAAATAAGAATTTTGTTGAAGTTGCCAAACAACATATGGAATAAGGGTGGATTTTCCATGGACTGACATCAGTTTAATTAAAACAGGATCCTAAATTGCTATATAATTAATATAGAGGTTATTTCCCAAATATATGATAAAATCTATAGTCATTAATCAGAGAGTGTTTGTGAAATTCTATGATTCTGAATAATTATTCTTAAATTTAAAGTAATAATGGTTGATTTATAAGCAACATATTGATTTCAAATTCTTAAATAATTTGTAAATATTAATTTTTAAATTTTTTTTTACTCCAAAAATACCATTGTGAGAACAATGACTTTTTCCCTAAAATATAAGAACTATCAATGAATACAACATTAATTTTATTGATGAACTAAAATAAAATAATGACCCATTTAGATAGTAAGTATAAAACACACTTATAATATCAGTATGTATATTGTGTAGTTTTATATATGGAATTCTGTCAGATCCATAGCAAAAATGTATCACTTTTGAAATGCCACTTTCAAAAAATGAAGCTCTCAGAAATAAAAACGTTGGCTTAAAAGTAGGTGATTTATGAATGTGAAGTAGCAATGTATTTCTTACAGAAAGCAAATTTTATTGAAAATGTTTTAAACTTATTAAAATTTCGAAAACCATATAGTACATATTTCTACAAATTGTACATTGTGTAATTTTTTGTCACTTCCACTGGAATTCCCTGTGATTATAGATCAAAAAGCTAAAAATCAGCTACATTTACTGGAATGTGTTGAATCCTAAAATTACTCTCATGAGAAAAGATTCCAGATATATAATTGGGGAATTTGATTTGATTCTTAAACTGATCAACTTGTCAGAGTTGTCCAATTGATCCTTAATCATGTATGCCATTTCCATTGTGAATTCACTCCAATCCAGGGTTTTTATCAATAATTTGACTATATGTATAGGTATTACACATTAACAAGTCCACTCTACAGAGAGAATGGCCTCATCAAATCAGAATAGAATGCCTTGTATGTAGATTATGAACTTGTCATAAACATGTTAACGTAATGTGGATGCACAATGCTGATTTTGTGTAGTCATTTGGTAGAGATTTTTGTTACATTTGCTAGGAATTTCTCATATATTCATAACAAATGGATAATTTTGATTATAGTTACCTAACAAAGCCATAGCTGATTTGCATTAACATGATATATATTGAAGTTTCTTGCACACTTAACAGCTTTTATTGATATTTTATGCTTTACTCTGTTTTCTGTTTCAGACAGAAGATCGGGAGCACCGGCTGTGGTAGAAGTGGAAGATCCCAGATACAGAGGTAAATAATGGTCAAAATTACCAGTCAAATATCAAACTTCTTCCTTTCTGAAACTCTAGCATCTATCATTATACATCAGAAATACCATTATTTTTTTCAAAAATTGATAGAGATAATGCTGACTCCTTTATATTTTCAATCTTTCTTGATCTTCATTTATGCATCTTTCATTCATGGAACATTTAAAAACTAATAGGAGTGAAACCACTGAAAAAGAAAACAACTTTACAATCAAAGACTCCGGACTTAACTTCCTCTAATGCATCCCACAATGCATCTCATCCAGTGTCTGCTTCTGATCCACATCAGAAGTTATCCATGCCGCTTCCGGATGGCATGCTTTCACATGGATATGCCACACCGGCTCTTGAACAATCAAGACCCCAATCTCTTGTTCAATCACTGGCCGACAGAATCTCTGATCGCCAACGACAAAGAAGTATTGAACTTGTAAATGAATGTTTGAATTCCCGAGCAAATAGTCAAGCCAACAGTGAATATTTTGGTGGAGACCCACTTTCTAGAGATCTAAGCAGACGGTCATCCCAGAAGAGCTTTTTCCAACAGCAGGTTAATTCTCCCAGTGTAGCTGATCAGTATTTAGAGATGAACCCTATGATTCAAAGAAGATTATCTCTTAGTTCTAATAGACAAGGAATAGACCAACATGTTATGCCATCATCTTCCCAATCAGTGCATCACATGCCTGTCTTGCAAGCTCCGCCACAACTTAATGTGGAGGAACCTCAAAGACATCACCACATTTCATCCAGATCAGCTGGAACTGTAGCAAAACTTAGTCAACCTCAGCCTGTGAATCTTCAACTACAGAAGCTTAAGTACCCAATAACATTCAAGATGGTGGCAAAAGCTGTGAAAAACTTCATTACTCAACAGAATATTGTCATGACAGCGATAGCTCCAGGGAGGGTGAAGAAAAGGTTCAGGTTTGACTGGGCACGGTTCAGAACTTGGATCAATGTAACCAAGCCATTTGAGAAGGAGAAAGATGCAGGGGTGATGTATCAGCTTCAGGCACCTACCCCATCCATCGCACCCCAGGAAGAGGACAGGACGACTTCAGAATTTGTTTTTAATCAGCATCAAACTGATCATTTGCGAGAGAGACACCTTAACTTTATGCGACAACAGCTTGACCCAGATCTCTATCCTGAACATACTGGTGGGCAGCACAGATCACCAAGACATGATTATTATTCTCATGAACCTCCAAGAAGTTCTAGAAGTTCAAGGTTTGGGCATAACTTGGATGTAGGTAGACAAGAGAGGTCTACCTATCATGGAAGGTCATTTGATCATGCCAGTCCTGACAGAAGTAGAAGGAGTCCAAGATTTGAGTTTTATGGACCAGAGGAAAGACACTCTCCTTACAGAAGAGAAAGTAAGTCAAGATCACATTCTCGTTCTCAGGAGAGGAGGCAAGACATGGGTCCCCATGATGACTGGTTTGAGTATCAAGGCAGAGAAAGGTCTGGCCCACAGAGAAGTGCAAGAGACTATGACAGTGGATTTGAAAGAAATTCTCATGATGAGAGACATTCCAGAGACCATGGCTTCTATGAGAGTGAATCAGACTATGATGAAGAATATGAGGATTTCAATGTCTCTTCTGATGAGTATGAGAGTCCTCCATATTATGCACAGGAGAGCAGAAGATACAGAGAACAGCCACATCATCAAAGAGGTGGACCTAGAGGTCTTCCACCAAGACACAAAAGACGTTTGGCAAGTTATGAGAAAGAGGATGTAAGAAGTCACAGGAAAAGAAGCCCAGACCATAAACAGAAGCAGAAAATAAAAGCAAGAGGTTTTGACACAGACTTTGGAATTTATGGTGGACCAGGATCTAAGCCCCCACCATTAACTCTAAAGGAGTACAATGAGTCACAACGGAAGTCCAAGAGAAAGAAGAGGAAGAGACCAAAGAGACATTCAGCCCTGTATAACATGTTGGACCAGGATGTAGAGTATCCCTCAGAGCTCCCTCCAGCTCTCAAAACCCTGGCCACTTACGGGAAGATGTTTCATGGACAGCTGCTCCAGGATGCCATTCAGATGGACCATGAAGGTAGAGGAAGATATCTGCATGGATGACAAATTCACTGATGAGAATGAATCACTGTAGTGCAGAATGAGGCACTCCTCTTGCAGAGAGATAACTGCATGACCACTGACATTGTTACATGAACACTTTAAATGGAATGGATCACTTCATTGATTTTTTTTATGATTTCTGAATGTTTTAGTACCAAATTTTCTTTTTGTTTGGAATGATTATTTGATATTTATAGAAAGATTTCTTTTGATATTGCTTCTTTGACAGCTTGATTTGATGTAAGATGCTTGTGTACATTTATTTTTAAGTTTTAATCCAGGTTTATATTGTGTATAGCATCTAATGCTAGCTGAATTTACTGTATTCATTTTCTGTAAATTCTGACAATTCCAGATAGATTTACATATGAAGATTTCTTTAAATCAGCATTATTTATATCGTTCATACAGTCATTCAATGCCATCTGACAAAATGTTTACAGATTTTGAATTTGATTTCAGAATCCTCTGATGGTAAGTTAGGGAACCAGTTTCAGATGTGACTGTCACAGAACCAGTTTACTAACATTTTTACCTTTTCTAGTGTCAGATTTCATGTTCAACTTGGTGTTTTATTCATTGTGTAAAGACATTTAAAGATTACATCATTTTGCTAAAACATTTACTTCAAAAGGACATTGGCTTAAGGTCTTCATCTCCAAACTAAAATGTCACATCTTGTGCCAGGACAGTGAGTTTTAATTGGGCTTGATTGAAATATATTTGAACTTCTTTACATTAACCAGGGGCTTTATTTGAAAACTTAACTTTGACAAGAGTACAAAGCATTCATTGATGCTTCAAATACTTCTTTGATTTTTGTACCTATCCCAATGAGTTTGCCAAATGTACCCAACTGAATAACTGATGGTACATTTTTATATAAATACTATACATTCCTATCGTATACATTTAGATATTATCTAATATAAGCCAAAGGTACATTGATTTTTGTTTATTATACATATTCCTGCTTTGTTTTCCTTCATTAATTTTCCCTCCATACTATAGATAAACCTTCCCTATTTAACTCACTTGTCACACCCTCTAAATGTTCTTGATGCTTATTGTATTTAAAGGAACACTTGTACAAGTTTTGCATTTTGTCTTCACAATTTGATTTTGCATAAAACTTTGTTTTTTACATGTTTTTCAATTCCGTAATAGTCTTAAGAAATATTGACTTCATGAGGTCTTAAGAAGTCTTGAATTAATGGGGGTTTTTTTGTTTTTTTTAAATCCTTGTTATGTCTACATAAAAAGTTGTTCTTTCTTCAGTAAAATATATATGTTTTGAATTCTTTTGCAGATCAGAGTATGATGACAGATGACAACTATGAGAAGGGAACACAAACACCAAGGGGCAAATCTCGAGTGAAAAATCTCAGAGATAGCTATGGCTCAGGTGACTTCTCAGAGGAGCGAGCTCAATCTCGGCGAGCACAAATTTCTGACTCGGAGAGTGAGACTGAGTCTGAGACTGGCTCATCAGAAAGTGAAACTGAAAGTGAGACTGCCTCAGAAGGAACTAGATTATCTAACGAAGGAAGTGTTATGGTGGTCAGCATGAAGGATGCAAAGTATGCTCCAAAGGTCATGAGAGAGGTCAAGCAACAGAGCAGACCCAGGAGCAGTTACATTGCTAGAGATGACAAAACTGACACTGGGACACAGTCGGACATCACTCCGAGACCCCCTTCTGCTAGGCGGTATCGAGATACTCATAGTGCTTGCTCAGACATAAGTCCTCCTCGGTTAGCTCGAAGGGCACTCATTGAAGTAGAGGAGACAGCCTCAATTGATTTGAATGAAGACCACATGATGAAGAGTGTTGTTGTGTCCAAGGAAAGAGGAAGTAGACGCCGCCAAGTAGAGGAAGGGGAGGTAAATGAGGAAAATTTAAGATTTCATTGATTAAAGTATTTTTCAATAAAATTATGCTAATTTTAGCTACAAAATATTGTTATTTACAATTGGTGTGTAATGTTTAAATTTTTACACACATTTTCTTATTTTCAGCCTGTATATAACCCTGCCAATGACGCACAAGTGGGTGTGCCTGCTCCAACTATCAAAGTATCCAGTATGGGTAAATCAGGGTTGATTGTGGAGTGGTACATTGACAATCGTATTGACTCAGAGTATGAAGTCCAGCAGTATATCGTCAACATTGTGGGCCGAGACTTCAGTGTCAAGGATGTCAACAGTCATATCAGGTACTGAACACACTAACACTAAATTTCAGGTAGAACTGTGAATTTTTAAAAAATTATATACATGTATATAAGGATTTTAAGTATATGTGATATTTTCATTTTTAGTTTTGAATGTAACCTTGTGGATAACAAAGGTCACAGTGTTAGAGGTACCCAGCATTGCTGGACTCTGGATGGAAACAAACGTAAAATCAACATCAGGGGTCTGTACCCTGACAACACGTACAGGTGGGTGCTAAAGATTGGGCTATATATATACAGTACATATGTTACCTCAAGACAACTATCTACATGTATGTTATCTGCAGTTTTATTTTTAAATACATATATTTTTCAGTATTGAAACATGAAAGACGTATATATTGACATATTTATTCAGGGTGTTTGTGGTGGCAAATTATGGTTTCCGTGACGATGAGGAGGAACAAAAGCCTATAGAGGTCCAGGCTACATCTCCTGTGATTTACTACACCACAATAGGACCCCCTCTCCCTCCATTTGTCAGGGTTCTCAATGTTGGATTATATCAGGTACAGGTTACACTCAGTGATTTTATAGATATTTAGTCATAAAATGTGTTCTTTGTATATCTTGTGTGAGAAAATCATGTGAAGATGTGTATATTAAAATAAAATATTTTTTTATTTATCCATCATGCAGAATTAAATTCATATAATGATACAGTATGTTTTCTTTATTATGAGAAAAAACTCAATTAGAATTCATGGAGAGTTTATCATTGTGCAGGAATAAGAAATCAAGAAAATCAAATGATGCTATAAATTTGGCAATAACTACTGGGTTATTATAAAGTGAAACTTTTTTTCTGTATAGACCACAGTTCAATGGGATCCTCCAAGACTACAGAGTGGGCTGGAGTTATTGGGTTATAAAATCTATGTAGATAACAAGGTTCTACAAGGTCTTCAGAGAAAAGACACACGACAATTGGTGATTAATGACCTGGTGCCAGGTAAGAGTTATCTCCCTTAAAAAGCAATCTTGTATATTACCTCTGGTTAAAACTGTCATTTTGATCTGGTTTTTGAAGTATCTATCCTAGTTTTTCTTTTCAAGTACTTGTAGCATATTTCATGCTTTTTTTCCAGGAGTCTATTATTTTCTAAGCAAATTGAATATTTATTAATTTGAGTAATTAAGTCCAATAAAATTTTCACTTAACAGTAGGTATCTGTATAAAGAGTCTTCTATTCCCTTTTCAACCAAGTGTTTACTACATAGTTTACCTTTGACAAATTTCATACAAAAACTGTATATTGTGCTTTCAATTTCTCATTTCCTCATGTAGGAAAAACAATCGGTGTATCGGTGGTAGCAGTCCTGAGACAAAGTGGTATAGAGAGTGAACCCTCCCGACAGATACACATCACCTGTCCTAAGAGGCCTCCTCCCCCTCATATCAGCCAGCAGCCCCTCCACAAACACGGCAGTGTATTAGTGGCCTGGGACAAGCCAGGAGGGGTCAGGAGAGCCGTGGCTCAGGAGGGAATCACCAGCTACAGGTACCCCAAACTTTCCTTGCGTATACCAGACCTGTTTACTCATTTCGCGGTATTTTGCACGGATTTTAAGTCCAAATTATAATTCACATTTTGCTCTAATTATGAAAATATGGAAATCAGAAATCCATTCATTTGGTTTTTAGCAGTTAGATTTCGTTATGATCTGTCTCAGTTTGACGCTTTTTAATCGCTTAAAAAAGAGGTAGATTTCAAACACTTAAATGATGTCAGGTTGCCAAAACGCGGTGGTTTAAAAAATGACAGAAACCCCTCAAAAGAAAGGAAGGTATGATGTTTTTCTTAAACTATGTTTTGGTAATCAGAAATGTAGTTGTTCTCTAGTAATATATGTCAAATCGATGGAAAGTAAAATATTATGGAAAAATGCCAAATCTCACTGACAAATCTAATAAAAAATACTGAGAGACAACAGTATAGGTAAACAGGTCTGGTATGCTTGTTTGTTTCTCATCTTCAATCTAAATGTATTTCATTTCAGTGCAGACATGGAATTTGTTAAAACATTAAATTTTTTTTACAGATATTATTTGTATCCTGTGTTAACTCATTAACTAAGATTTTATACCAGTAGTTACACTTGCATATGGTAGGTTTGCATGTTATGATATGAGATATCATAAGAAGATTCATAGAAGAGGAACAGAGTTTGGAAAGTTAGCTATTCAGTTGTGGAGTTTTAAGTATCTGTTTTTATTTTGTAGGATATATGTCAATGATAAATACTTTGGGAAGATAGATGCCTCCCCCAAAATGGATCGCCAAGGTTACCAGTATGTGATCACTGGCCTTAACCCTGAGGAAAGCTATGATGTCAAGGTCAAGGTATGGTGTATACTAGTTGTGTTGTCAAATTATGATTTTGAGTCCTTAAATTTTTTGTATGTGATTCTGTGTAAATTGTACAAAATAACCCTTTTAAGAGCAATTGTTGACATTATGCTAGGGAATCGTTATATAAGTGTTTACAAAAGAATTACTTCAGAAATGAAACAGAATATTTCCTTGGTAACAAGGATTAAAAGCTGGGCGAAATGTATGGACAATTTGAAAATAAGATTTTAGTGGCCTTACAAGTTTTTAGAGAAAATTATTCAGGGATAAGGCTGTTGAGCACCTATGCACATAAGAACTTTTTTTTTCTCAATTCTTATTTCTACTTTTCACAGAGTATGGCTGGTCAGAAACATGTCGATCCCGACCAGAACCACATTTTCTGTATCAGTGAGAGTGCTTTCTCTAACACTATCCCTGTCCAAGCTCCAGCGGCTCCTAAATCTCCAGAGCTCAGGCTAGAGAGCATGACCCCCCAGGGAATCAGGGTCACATGGCTAGCACCTCAGCAGTACGGGGAGGCAGAAATTTCTGTGAGTTGCATAAGAAAAAAATTTCTTTGAAGAAAAAGTGTCTCTTAAATGTCTACATTTAATAACTTAAAATTTTTTCTCTTTATTTTATTAGAAACAAATACTGTATGAATATCACAATTATAGCTATATACTTTGTGAGTTACTTCCCTTTAATTACTAAATATTATTAGTTCTGTTTATCTTTAATTAAAACATGAATGGTTTGGGAGAAAAAAGTAGAATGTCAAATTAATGGTATTGTCAGAAGAAGATAGTGAATAAGACAATCTCATAAAAGAATTTGAAATATACTTTCATGGAGACTTATTTATTTCCATAAAATCACAGGGTTACCGTCTGCTGAAGAATGGTAAACTGTATGGACACGTCATGGGACCTGACGTTAACGCTGTAGATATTACTGGGATCTCCCTCGGTGACAAGGTTGTCCTTCAGCTGGTGGCCTTGACAAATCATCCAGTAGGGAAACTTGAGCGAGCTCTTATGGAGCTCGAGAGAGATGAATCATCACCACAACAACAAGGTAGATAAGTTTGTAACTCATTTCTTCTTCAATTTTTCATTTCAAAATTAAACGTTTGAAAGTATGTGGACAATAGCTCTCTTTGTTGCAGTAATTTTTTTTTGTGGATTGCTTTAGAATGGTTTGAACAATTATTTGCACAACTCATGACATTGATTGTGTTTCAATTAATCTTCACTCACTTTGAAAGTAACAGGAAGGCATAACAGATGACAAGTCCATTTGATCTAATGTTGGTGAATTTGTAAATTTTCAGTTTTCAGAAGTGCACAAAAAATACTGTTGTACTCTTCAATTTGGCTTTCTTTCTTACTTTGGCTAAATGTCTGTACATGAAGTATTGTTATGGAAGGGATGTTGTGATCATCTCAACAGCAGTGTGTGTACTATTATGCCTTCAGTAAAGTTACACATCTTACACCATTAGTTTTTGATGTTGATTTTGCACTAGCACAACTCACTGGTAGTGATCAGAAAGTGTTCACTCTGACAGAGGGAGTGAAAACCAAGGGCTGGACTAAAACCGAGTCTACTAACAAACTGGAGGGTAACTAACTAGATCCTAACTAACTATAAACTCATTGTATGCTTAAAGTGAAGCTAGAGGGTAACTAACTAGATCCTTACTAACTCTTAATTCCTTGTATTCTTAAAGCTACATAGCAGAATAAAGCTAGAGGGTAACTAACTAGATTCTAACTAACTCCTAACTCATTGTATTATGCTTAAAGCTATATAAAGTAGTAGATTGAAGCTAGCAACAAAGTAGACCTTAACTTTGTATGCTTAAAGCTCATTTTGTGCTTAAAGCTACATAGTAGATTGAAGCTAGAAGGTAATTAACTAGATTCTAACTAATGCTTAACTCATATATCCTAACTAATGCTTAACTCATTGTAAGCTTAGAGCTACATGTACATAACAGATTGAGCTTGAGGGTAACTAACCAGATTGAAGCTAGGAATGACATTCTTATGTTTGAACTGTAATCTATGCCAGAGCATCTGTCTGCATTTCTATTCCAAGTAACTGCTGCCTAATTAGATGCTGTTTTTAACTCATCTTGGTGCTGATTTGCTAGATTTTCATGGACTTAGCAAATAGCTTTAGCTTATGGCTGGCATATGTATGTATAAAGGAAATGCATGTTTAAAAAAACTTCAATCATGGATATATTGTAGCACCACAGGAATTGAATTAAATGAACATTTTCTGCCCAAGAAAGAAAATTGATTAAACAGTTACCGTTATGATTGTAGAAAAACCTTGTAAATTTTGAATCTTTTAAAGCATGTTCAGTGCTTAAAGTGTTGGCGCTTAAATATTTGTATACTATATCAAGCTTTATAGTTTGAAGAATTATTTTTGAAAGAAAAAAAAGTTGTTTTTTGATTAACACTATCATAGATAAAGATCAGTTATGTGCATTGTTTGTTTTATTTACGTCAATGTTTGTTTCACTGATTGACACTGTATACTTCACACATAGACATACAGGCTACATAGTGCTTTGTCACCGATTTAAAACAATGTGCAGTTTTTACACATCACTGAACTCCAAATGTATTGTTCATTATTTACAGACAAAAATAAATCCAATTTTATTTATAGAGGCATTTTATCACTGTGTACCATTAAGATTTTCAATATGTGATCCAAGCATATTTGTATTAAGGTGATCTTTACAATCATGCACATGCTTCATTCAACCCTCAACCTTACAAAGCCTCTCCATATGATTTTCTCTGAAATTTTGCTTGTATAATACTGTGCTTACTACTGATTTTTCAAATAGTTCATTTATAATGAAATATCCCCCACTATTTTTAATCGGCATTTTTATTCATTAAATTTATTTCACTGCATTTTTAGGGGATTTTTTTTTTAAAAAATACTCATTTTTTACAAGAACTTTCATAAAATCTCACTTTCTCTTGTCATTACTTACAGATATGTTGCTTGGAGAGAAATATGCAGGTTGTCGTCCAGGCCCCAAACTGACCGTTCACTACACAGGCCTCGTCAGGGGTCCGGACGATGTGTGGCTAGAGCAGGTGACTGGACACTCAGCACTTGTGGTCTGGAAAAAAGGTAGGTGTAACTAGTACACCTGTACTATTGACCTGATTGCAAATTTTGAAATACAAGAACTTACAGTGCAAGTTTAAAATCATTCATTTAGATTGTATTTACACATACAATGTTTTAATCGACTTCCAATTTGGGAAAGTATGGAAATGTACTATAATAAGTGTTTCAACACATTGCTCCAAAATCTGTTTTAAACTTGGAGGTTTGATTTTCTTAATAAACAAATAGCTAAAAAAAAAAAAAAAAAGAATTCATCATTCCTGATGAACAGGTATAGGTTTCAGACTGTATTAGGCTGGATATTTGATAAAGAATATTTTGGGTGTTAATGGAGGTCATAGTAGTGTTACAAGAAGCTGATTGAAATGTTAAAAATGAGGAAACCTAACTTAAATTGGTTCTTAACGAAGAATCTGTCTTTAATGATACATGTATTTACATCACAACTAGGTCTTATTCTAAACTGAAATTTATTCAAGCTTGTTTTGTAATTGTCAATAGATCATAAATCATCTTTAAATGACACAAATATTGAAATTATTTGAAATCTACACAGTCCATAGAATGAAGAGATAATACATTTTAAAAGCCTGTTTATTGATTTGACATAACTGAAAACAGCTTCAAAACTGTTTGAAGCAAAAGTTGCATAATGTCTGGTTAAAGGATGATTTTAAATGTGATAAAGTATGGGCCATTTTTCCATCAGTCCATCCCATATATCAATAAGAAAAGAGACATTTATGCACGCTTAAGCCTAGCAGCTCATAATTATATTCACATATTGAAGGCTATTAGGACAAGAATTTTATTTGGAATTTTAAAATAGCTCTGCGGCCTTGCGGGTATACAAGATTTAGGTATGATGACATCAAAATTGTTGCAGTTTATTCCAATATTCCTAAAAGCTACATATTGAAAGGGTTGGTTTAACGGAGCCACTAGGGTCAGATAAAAATTAGAAGATCATAATGTCCCATACAATCGGTAATTTAACCATGGTTTAGGATCTGATAGAAGATGTGTACCCAAGTTAAGAACAATGGCTAGCACGAGGGTCCTCTCATCGCAGTGCGAAAGATATGCCCTTTAAAAATCATGGTCTGCTAGACTCTTGAGTAAATGGTAGATCATCAAGAGATTCAAGTTGACTATAAAATGCTTATGCAGTTTATCAGATCATCAATCTTATCTTGTACATCAGGAGGCTTTTTGTATGGTCGTCCGTCATTTGTAAAAATTATTGGAGATGCATGCTTAGTAATACGCTATATCCCTACTGTTTGTATTTAAATATTGAGTACGTAACATTTAGAACTATAGAACACTAATTAAAAGAGATTGTATTGAAGAAGTTAAACCATGGCAAGATAAGATAGAGTTTTTTCAGACCATGTAGAAAAGTGTTTCAAAATTATAAAGTCAAATGGAACTTGAATAATATTGGTGCACTTTTAATTAATATGTTATTAAATCAAGAGACACTTTTCTTCAAAGTTTGCTTGTTTGTTTTTGTTTGTTTTTGTTTATTTGTGTCTCTTATATATTATTGTTTATGCCCATCTCATAATATTTTCCAACCTTTTTATTTATTTATTTTTTGTAACTAAATATGTTTTATTAAATTTTAAATGTTTGACATTTCCACCATAAATAAACATTTATACAAAATCAATGAAATTCCATTGTATCCCGTGGTTGCTATATCATCATGAGTCTTGGACAAGCATTCTCAGATCAATTAATTCTTTACATGCGGCACCAAAACTTATTCATTCCACATTATTATGGTCAATAATTTTAAACTACACATATTTTCGTCCGTTTTAAACATCCAAGATACCCATAAAAGCTTTTTTCAGTGGAGTTTTGTTGCCTTTGTTTTAAATTAAAGGGTGTGAGCTATACATGATCCCCTGTACTCTTTGTATATCTCTGTGTTTAGTAGTGGGAGTTAAGAAGGAATTACAAAGTTTGTTGTTGCTTCTCTTTACGAGCCTTTTTCCGTATCGTTACTATGAGAAGAGGAAGATCAATGGGATATAAGTGTACTTCTAACCAATTGATCGGAATAATTGAACATTGATTTTTTTTTCCCTTTTTTTATTTTATTCATTGGATAAGAAAGTCCTATGTGTGATCAGTATTGCAGAATGACATTTAAATGGTGCATGTTTACACGTCTTTTAAAATGACTTAAATATTCATTGGCTCTCAAAGTGTGAGAATCTTTCATTCTGTGTTGAGGAATATTTCTTTTATCTTTTAACAGTAAGTTTACTTTGTCTTTTCTATTAAAGTTCAAGTGTTTATAATGTTATCATTTTGAAGAATGTATCTCATTTCTTTTTAAAAATTAATTAAATGATATTCTGTTTTTGATTTAAATTCCTTTTGTCTATTTAAGGAAATAAAAAACACTGCTTTGCCTCTGTCAACAATGGTTTTTGTAGGATAACAATTTCACATTGTACCCTAAAAAATGTCATATTTTTATATAAATGTTGTAAAAAAGTATTTTTGATTATATCTAAAAGGAGTTTACATTCACTAATTGTTGTCCAAAAACAAAAAGATACAATTGAAGCCAAAAAGCTCTTAGGTACATTTTTTATGAATTTTAAAATATTTGTCTCCATGCAAATTTTGAATGACATATGTTTAATTCAATCTGCAAAAGGGATATTCTTCAAGTTTTTTAGGCACCAATGTAAATGAAATTATAATCAATATGTTAAAAAAAAAACTTTATTTCACTTATACATCCCTACTTGTATACACAGCACTTTAAAAATTGTTTGAATAAATATTTTTTATGTAAATTCCATAAAAGCACTGAAGAGCTGGGCCCGGGTTATCATTGCCACCATGATCTGAATTAGGAATCTAATATCCTTTCCAAACATGGAAAGTGTCAGATTTGTGAAATCAAACATTTACACCCGGCCCATACAAAAAAAAGGTACATATAGGCATGCCTTTTTTGTGCTTATTCAGTACCTAAAGTGTGCCTACTAATATAGGTACAGAAAAGGCATACCTATTCTGTGCCAATAATGAACTTAATTTTTTTCCAATGTACCTAAAATGTACCTACTTTGGACTTTGTCATTTTTCAGTGTGCCTGAAATGTACCTACATTGAACTTTGTCATTTTTCAGTGTGCCTGAAATGTACCTATATTGGACTTAAATATTTTCCACTGTACCTAAAATATACCTACATTGGACTTAGTCATTTTCTAGTGTGCCTGAAATGTACCTACATTGGACTTTGTCATTTTTCAATGTGCCTGATTAGTACCTATAAAAGACTTAGTCATTTCACAGTATTTTCGTCTACTTACCCATACCAAAAATATTAACATTTCCATATATCTTTTCTTTAAATTTTGTACCTTGAGGATGAGTAAACTTTTAGAATATACAACTTTTTGTACCTAAAATTGACAGTCATGTTTGAATTTAACTAAAACTTAATTCAAGACTTTGTCATTTTTCAATGTTACTTCTAAACTAAATTGGACTGTCACATTTATTGCTTCTTTGTAACTTAAAACTGATTTTTTCAACATGGGCACCTATTTGTGATAATATTTAAATAGAATCATGTTTTTCAATCAGAGAAAAATGAAAACTCAAACAAGTTCAATAATTAATAACAATTGAAATTATAGTTTTATAGTAATACAATTATATCATGACATTTAGGATGTGTGATTTGTGTGTGTGTGTGTGTGGGGGGGGGGGGGGGGGGGAGTAATAAAAGCCACTTTTTATCCACCATTTCTTTTTCTTTTTTTTTATAATTATTATTCAACTATTTTTGTTCATTTGATTATTAATTATATTATACTTAAGATTTCAGTTCATTAATGCAAGCATAATGTCTACTGTGTTGGGGGAAGAAAAAAAAGGGGGGGGGGGGTATCTTGTTAATCAAATGCCAAAAATATATATATAATTATCAATTCAATTCAATTAAATTTTTTATGGCAAATAAAAGATCCATTTTTGATCTTTAAAACCCCCCTCTACCCTACAGGGTTCTTAGTAATTTTGTTTTACAGGTTATGAGACAAAGGAGGGTGGGTGTCTTATAAACACAGTATAATTATAAATACCAATATTTTGACCATCTGAATTGCCCAGTTTAACAGAAAAAAGTGTATTAAAATCATTAATACCTTGTGTTACAGTCTATTAAATGATATCCAAATTAGGGCATCTCTCTCTCTCTCTCTCTCTCTCTCTCTCTCTCTCTCTGGTGAAATACAGAAATGTTAGGGATGTTTAAATTTACTTATATAGAGAGTGAGAATTTATTTATATCCAGTATTCCAGTGATATTTTAAAATAGACTTCGTTTTTCTTTGTATGCAAAACGATGTTGATTTCCAGTGTTCTTCAGTGACACAGGTGTTTGTACTAGGTGACCTTTATAGCTTGCAGAAATTTTGGCTCGTGTATCACGTGCAGTTCTTCAATCACGAAGGGCTGATTTGAAGTCTACAGCTCAATCATAATAGGTAAATAAACAAAAGAAAAAATAATAAAAATGAAATAAAAACAAGATATTTATGAAATTTGTTTTAAACTATAACTGATAGTAAAGTAGTAGCAGTAAAGAATAGTGTCACATTTACAATTGATCAGGCTTGAAATTTAATATAAATAATAGCCTTCAAGGTGTTCAAAAGACCTGTCCTTATTGTTTAATTTACCATACACATAGTATGTAAACATGATGTGTATAATTTACAGGGTTCATGTAGTGACACTTCATTTCGATGTTTGGGAATGTACGTAGAGTGCCAGTTACATTAAGATTTTAGCTGAGGTCTAGTACATAAAGAATTTGTTGTAAATCAATAAATTTAATCAATTTCACATGTAATTTAAAAAAAAAAAGAAGTTATGTGAAATCAGAATGGCGACCCCGATTATAACACAAAATGGCGTCCAAAATGGCGGTCCCGATTAATTACCCAATTAGGGACG